TATATATTTCCCCTAACCTGAAATACAGTTTAAGAGTTGAAATAACTCAAAATAATCATGTACATAGTTTTGCCAAATAAAACAATGGCTTTTGAATCTTTCTTCATTGTAGCTCACAACAAGAAACGTAATTTATATTCCATAAAATAAAAGTACACCAATATATTTTACAAAAGAGTATGTATGATACATTGAAACTTGCTTATCTACATTACTTCTTTTTTGTTTTAATGTTGACTATAACCTTTATGACGGTTTTATAACCCACCAATACATCTCAAATCCTCAGTTTATTTTGGTAATGGGAATCAAATTCACAACCTGATACGTGCCATGCAGGCACTATGCCACTAAGCTATATCCCCTGTCCAAATCCTCAGTTTAAAAACCACTGGTCTAGACAAAAATTTTGAAGTACCTAGCAGAGGACATGGTAAAATGTCTACCACCAAATTAACTGACTTTTCATTCATGTTCGCTACTCTGTGTCCACAAGAAACAACCATATGAAACTCTGATAAACTTTTATTGAGATCACTGTGTATCATTTAATCACTGCTACATAAAGATATACAGGAACATTAAATGTTCATCCAATATGCATTAAATGTTCATCTGCAAAGGACAGTTTTTCCTATCACTGCTAAATCTGTTAATGATAGCTTTGGAAATTATAATAGCAACAAGCAAAGACCATGAAGCTATGCCTTTCCTTTCAATTTGGCTATATACAGAACAGGAAAGGGAGGTTACTGATAGTGGTACCTCTGTTCACCAACACTTTAGTTTGTGAACAATTTGGTTCATAAGCAGAAGAATTTGGCAAAATTATTTTTGTTTGTGAATTCCACATTGTCTGACAAATACAACTGCAGCCATCTTTCCTTCACAAACACAAATGTGGCCATCTTTCAAAAGTGGTGGAACAAATTAAGCTTGTGAACCAGGGTACTACTGTAATTAGAAGTCCTTATTTCTGAGTTCAATCCCCAGTTCCACAAAAAGAAAAAGAAAAAAAAGAAAAAAAAAAAACAGGAAGAAAGAAATCCTTGTCTCCCTAAGCAAAAGTTGCTAAATTCTGAGAATCAATGTATCTGAAACATGCTCCCATTTTGAAGACTAAAATCAAAAATTAAGTAAAAACAGTAACAGAAGAATAACTAACCTAATTAAGCTAAGTAAGTTCTCATGAAATTGCTTATGTAAGTTCTCATGAAATTGTTTACGTAGATAGCCTCTTTAACAAATGGTGCTGCAGAAACTGACTTTCCACATGCTGATGGCCAAAACTAGACCTATTTCTATCACCATGCACTAAACTAAAGGCAAAATGGATCAAAATCTAAACATTAACATACAGCACTAAATGGAGTGGAAGAGAAAGTAGGTAAATAAATCTTGAAGGCATAAGTATAGGCAGAGACTTAATGAACAAACCCAAACTGCACATGAAATACTACAAAGAATCAACAACTGGAATCTCATGCTATTAAAAAGCTTCTGTACATCAAAAGAAATCACCAGCAGAGTGGGGAAAAAAAAAAAAAAAACTTTTAGCCAATGGTTCCTCAAAGGACTTATATCTAGAACATTAAAAAAAAACTGAAAAAGATCAGACCCTCTAAATTTAAAGACCCAAACCAAAAATGGGCATCTAAGATAAATATATACTTCTCAGATGAAGAAATACAAATGACAAACATATGAAAAAATGTTCAACATCACTAGTCATTACAGGGATGCAAATTAAAACAACACTGAAATTCCATCTTGCCACAGAAAAAATAGTTGACAGCAAGATATCTATCAATAACAAACGCTGATGGTGCTGTGAGAGAAAAGAAACCTTGTGCCACTATTGGTGCAGATGTAGGCTGGTGAAACCACTGTGTAAATCAGTGTAGAGATTCCTCAGAAAACTAGGATTACAGGTCCCATTTGACCCAAAGATTCCCCTTTTGGGTATTTTTCCAGAAAAATGAAAACATCATACAACAGTCATATATGTGCACCCACATTTATAGTAGCATAATTTGTAGTAACTAAATCTTGGGTGAGACGACCTGGGGCCCACCGGATCCTGAATAGACCCAGAGCGCAGGCCCGGTGTGTGAGTGAGAGGACCCAGGGCCCATGGATCCTGAATAGAATCAAGGCGTAGGCCCAGTGTGTGAATGAGACCCCCTGGGGCCCACTGGATCCTCATTCGACCCAGAGTGCAGACCCAATGTGGAACCCTTCAGCAGAACTCCCTGCAAAGAGGCTAAAGGCAAGATCCACCCAGCTGATTCAGGAGCAGAACATCTTACATCTTGCCAGAGTGACACAAAGGGTTCAACTCCAACAGCTGCAGAAGGAAGAAGTGGAGCACAGCAGCCAGACCCCAGCCAGACCCAAGCAAC